GGTTTATCCTTTACCTGAGAATGTAAAGCTTTTGCACAAAGAGTTGATCAGCATTGTATGTTGTTCAACTTGAAGTTGGTTTATCCTTTACCCGAGAAGGTAATGCTTTTGCACAAAGAGTTGATCAGCATTGTATGTTGTTCAAATTGAAGTTGTTGAGAGTTTACTGCACAGCTGGCTTATTGGTTGTTGTTTACTTTTGCAGCTAGATTGATCTCAAAGAGCTTTGAAAGGTTTGAAGGATAGGTGCAGTAGCTTGTTGGCATTGGCATGGCAGAGGAAGAGATTCCCATGGGCCAAGTCACTCCTGAGGAGAAGGACGATGGATGGTGTAGTTGAAGAGCCCAGTACACCTGTGAAGCAAAGGCCAGCTGCCAAAGCAAAGACCCCAAAATCCAAGAGCCCAAAAGCAAAGAGCCCTAAAGGGAAGAAGCCCAAAGCAAAAGGAAAGAGCAAGCCAAAGCCAAAGCCAAAGGCATGCTCTTTGAAAAGGCCTGCTGCCAGTGGAGAAACTGTACAGCCAAAGAAGAAGCCAGCAGCTCATGGCTGGGCAGCAGGGTTGCAGGAGGATCAGGAGGAGGAAGCACCAGAAGTTGAAGAGGATCAACCAAGAGAATGTGGAGGAGGAGGAGGAGGAGGAGCAGGACAATGCAGACTTCTTCTAGTGCTAGTGCGATGAGGCCAAGAAGGACAGGTCGAAGGACAACAAGTTCAAGGCCTTGTTGTCTGAGGGCTCTCTGCCAGACTATGTTGCGCAGGCTTGGAAGAAGACCTTGAGCATGAAGAAGGGACGCACAGAAGAACAGCGCAAGATAGTGAACCAAGTCCTGGACAGGACAAAGGATGGAAAGCTCATGGTGCTTATACCCAAGTTATTTTTCTTGCGCTTGTTTTTCCTGTGCGCTTATACCTGAGTGTGTGTGTGCTTGTGGTTTTATCCAAATGTCTCTACTTGTGGCTATATGTTTTACAAATTACTTTCTTCAAAAGATGCGTTTTAGATTGAATATTTGCAAATCAAAAAGTAATGAAAAAATAGGAAAAACCCTTAGTGAAGACCAACCTAAATAAATTTAGGTTGTACCTAAATCAAATTTACATTTACTAACCCATTTACACTTTTTGCCACCTAAATTCATCAATTTACGTAAATCCAATAAAAATGTAAATTTACTAATTTCGGTGACTTAGGGTAGCATCAGGTGCTGCTGTAGAGACGTGTGGATGTTCACATGCCTTTAGTCACCCCTACGACTTGCCATGCCTCTTACATGCCCTTGGCCCTAGAAGCGGGGAATGCCGGGGGCAGAGCACTGGGAAGCTAGAGTCCAGCATAGTCTAGCAAATATACATTTAAAGGAATCTGGTCGCAGGTGATGCTCCTGGCTACCTGTGGCAGGGCCCCTTGTGTTGTTTTTCATGTTGCAGGCTGCGGCATATCTCTACACTCCCAAAAACTAACATGGAAGTGGAGAATGGCCCCTTGGAAGACCATTTTCCACTACAAACAGGTGGTTTTCCACTTCCATGTTAGTTCCAGGGAGAGTAAATCCATCCAAGGTCTTGGAAGCAGCTGCCTGTGGCGCCAAGGAAGGGCCTCCCAAGCGCCCATTGAAAGGATCGGACCCAAATGATGAAAGTGCTCAAGACCTGATGGAGTTCCCAAGGTGCATCCCCTTAGCCTTTTCATAGCCGGGTGCAATCGTGTTACTGCCCAGCCATGCGTGTTCGTGAACTTCTAAACTCCTTAAGACCTTAAGGCTTCACAAAGACAAACAGGAAAGTCACAGTGACCAGCATGAAACACCAGGATTGTGCCGACCCGGAAGAATTCGGGAAATGTTGGGAACCCCTTCTCCTAGCCACCACATCGGCCACCCACTTCGTCTCCAGATCCTGCGGATTCTGTCGCCACGAAAGACGCTGATCCCTTTCCAATCCCGGCACGTAGCCATCAGCAACGGATCCCTCCCAAGCGAGGAAGAGAACATATTAATAGTACGGTGACCCTCTCCAATATGCAGTATGCATTATGCAATATGCAGTATGCATGAACCTCTCCAAAAGCATTTCGGACGAGCCGACTTCGTGCGTGAAACGGCACGAGCAAAGGTCCCTTCCAAGCGACGAAGAACTTGTCTCCGGCGTGTGCAAAGCCCCATCCTCACGGGTTCGGTCGGTGGGTGTTTCCCGTGGCGGCAGGCAGGCAGTGGCCGTTTCTACTAGACTAGTACGGTGGAGGCTGCACACATCGGTGAAATGTACTACGCCTTTTGATCTTTTTGGTCGGAGCCACGGGTTACCAGACCGAGAGTGGTGCGACCCACGGTTGAACGCTTTCCTTCGGAAGGGACTGCGCAAGTTTCTTCCTTCGTTCCTTCGAGCCGCGGGCCGTCTTCTGATCGTCACATCAAAGCCAAGTGAACATCTGACTTGGTTTGCCCAAAATTCCGTCTTGGGAGGCTATCCCAACCTCTCCATCTATGGAATCATATGGCATATATTACCCACATTTGACCCCAATGGATGTCAATATCCGAGTCTCATGGGTCGAGTCTGAGAGTAGTGATCATTTCTCGATCAAAGTCAAACACTTGGCTCCCTCGACGCGGGTCCTTCCCAAGGATAGTCTTTCTTCTCCAGGAGCTGCAAGTCTGGTGCAAACTTCAGTGCCTCCAAGTCTGATGGATTCCATATTATACATCTGTCGCTTTTTTGGATTCAAACATGTTCTAACAGGGGACAAAACCAGAGCCTGTCATGCACTGCCTCTTGAACCCTTCAGGCCGAGCCAGCTACTTCGGTCCGATCTTCGGTCCGGCCCATGCGAGAGAATCAGGCGGAGGATGCACAGGGTCCACATTGGCCTTGTAGGTGTCATAGGTGATCACCATCCAGCCATCTTCCACCTTTGCCACGCCTTCCTTGGAAAGGCAGCCCGTGCCGAGCAAAAATGTCTGGATTGGACTGGGCAGGATGTCAATATGATCTGTTTCCTGCTTTTGACTGCTACCCTGGAATCAATATCTGTTCAAGTGGCCCTAGCCTCAAGAAAGGGTCTAAAATGGTTTAAGAGTGGGCAACTGGATGCCCCGGCCGGCCATGAGAATTGCGGGGACAACTTCACAAGTTCTTTCCGCGAACACCAGTTGTACTCCCGGTTTGATTTTCGCAGTGCCGACTTCCGAACCACAGGGCGGTCCCTTCTCGGAAGAATCTCAAAGAGGTTTTGAAGGAGTGGAGTCATCCAAGGACTTACTGTGTGCACCGAACAGGAGGCCATTCTGTGGAGTTGTCGCTTTGAGACAAGGCCATGTCACTATCATTGCTCCACTGTAGATGAACCCTCGTCACCCTCGTCCAACCGATCTTCCACGGATCCATTCTCAGGTTCCATGTTCGTGGGGGGGGTCATTCGTGGGGATCTCAGGTACTTCTACCATCATTTCTGTTCCAAATGCCTGTTGGTGAGAAGAACGGAAGTTAAAACTTCTCGTTGTACGCTCCCAAGACTTGAACTCCGCACACGCAACACGAGCCCTCCGTGTTCCATATCCGAAAACCGTGTGAACAAAATTCACCACCCTGATTCCCTGATCACGAGGCGATGATTCTAAGCGAATGGCTATGTCTGCAATGTTCTTCTGGGACACACCAAAGCAAAGGAAACAACATAAATCCCTAAAGGGCTCCAAGTTCCAGTCGTACCGAGCTCGTTTCGGTGCGGTGGGACGACCGGGGCCCCGGGTGCAAGTCGGGTCCAGTCATACCGAAGCGTTTCGGAGCAGGTACCGATCCTTGGAGTTCTTCCGATCCTTGGACTTCAGCCTCCCCACACCTAGCCTGAATAGCCTGACCTCCCTCCCCGGGCGGTCACGCCAGGGTGTTTTTCGTCATTCCGAAAGCATCCGCTCCACACCTGGACCTGGACCTTCTCTGCCCCAGGCACTGCAAAATGATTGGTGAGGCCACTGGAGTCGCTGCGCTTGGCTCGCCCAGTGTGAAGGTCCACGAGCCCTGGCACCCAGGGCTCATCACAGGAGATGGAGAATTCAAAAGACAAAGAAAACGAAACAGGTCCTTTGTGCAACAAAACCACGCCTATATTTCTATAAAGTCTATATATGTTGCATTTCATTCTTACTTATATAGATGTTTTTAGATGTTTGTAGTGCTTCAGGACAAAAAGAAATCCACCCAGCGTGGAACACGTTTGCCCTGCTGCCTATCTGCAAGAGGGGTGGGAATCCGGATGTTGCAGGGCTGCACGTTCGCATTTCCTTTACATCACTTTCTCATGTCTTTCGAGTCGAGCTCGCGCTGTGTTTCAGCACTCCATGATGTATCTAACTAATTTCTTTAGGGAGATCTGGTGTCATGCGACTTCCGCCACCTCTACTCAATCCGCTGGTCGAAATTGAAACACGTGGTCCAACCACGTTGCTCTTCTAATGTATTTAAATTTTGAGCCTTCCCCTTCTACGGTCAACAGTTCTTCCAAGTCGCGAATGAAGGAGGCCGTACCAGGTGGATATGAACCGCTCGTCTCTATGAGAGTGTCATCATCGAACAACTCCTGGAGCAAGAACCAAACACACATGAAACATCATCCACACACCCAGGATGCTGGTGATTGCATAAAATTTATGGGTATGTAGGCATTTAGAAAGAACCATAAATAGGTAGGTAATGGTAGGTAGGTATAGAAATGCTTCTGCGCTCTTCTTTAACATAAGATGGGTGTGCCGAGGCCCATGTCACACCATTACCTTAAAAAACCCACATGAGCTGATGCAGGGATTTCCTCCCATCAACAGGACCAGGACCCACTGTGGCGGTTGCAAGAGTTTCCATGTGGATGATCGATCCACTGAAGGGGTACAACCTATGCAAGTTGAGTCATGTCGGCCCAAACGGCCATAGACCAGAACGATCTTGGAACAGCTGGGGCCGCTGCATTCCTTGCATTTTCAAGCTGGGTCAAATGAAGTTCAGGCACCTCACTGTCCCTCGAAACATAGATTAGACTGAACTGGCATCTCATGGCTAATCGCAAGGCAGCTTTCTCCAGTCCTCAGCTCACACACTTCTGAGGAGTGGTTGCTCACCACTGAAAAACAATAGACTTATCTAGATTCACTAATTTGACCCCAAAACACTGCCACTGCAACTAGATCATCATACTGAACTCAACTCCCGCAGCGCTGGCGCCCCCTGGCGCTCGCTCCAGGCCCTGCGTGAAGGGTGCGCCCTCGTGTGGCAGCTTTCGCAGCTGCCGGGCGCGGAACTCGCGCGGCTCCTCGGTGTGACGTCGAAATGGCAAAGTCAACTACTGAGTTCTAAGTGACTAAGGGGGCACCTGTGGCCCTCCAACCCATGAAAATAGAGCTTTTCACATACAAAAAACCATGGTTTGTGGGGCCCCTATAGTGCTTTTGTGGGGCACCAACACCCCGGCCTTCGTCCTTTGTCCAAGGCACGGCGGCGTGGACCGCCACACCTGCCGCGAATATGAACCACCGCTGCATTCCCAGGTGCGAAATGCGCCCCGAACTGCGCCCCGAATCTCTCCACCCCGCTGGGGGACAGGTTCAGGGGGCAGGAAGCTCCATGGAAGAGATCCTGATGAAAGCCCAAATGGGCTGCGGAATGCCAACTTGGCCGTTTTGCACATGCAAGGTGCGCAGGGTGGTTCGTGCCGCTGGCCATGGCCAAGCAACTGCTTGGTGTCTAAATTGGCTTATGACCAGCAAATGTTCACGAGAGGTGACGGTGATAAGTAAGTATGACGACAAGTGGACTTTGTCTTTTGGACAAGTGATGGCATGCCTGCCACAGTTCCCCTGCGCTTCTCGCGCCACTCACACCAACTGCATGGCTTTTGTCGGCTGCATCGCCCTCGACGGGACTACCATCCTCGCGCCCGTCGTCTTTGTGGCGGCTAGAGTGATGGCCTACAAGGGATCTGCATGGATTCGATGGTGCTATGAAACAACTCAATGACTGCGCACCACTTCGCGAGACATGTCCCTCATCTTTCAGCCATACCATCTAATCCTGCGGAGCCCTACCTACACGAGATTCCACACTTTTTAGGGTTTCCAAATGCCGCTGCCGAGCCTCAAACTGGGCATCAGCTGGTGACCGGAGAACCCTCGCAACTCTCACGTGGTACAGGTTGCTTCCTTCACATGCCCGGCCTCCGCTCTCAGATGAGACTCATGACTCATGATGGGTTTGATGCAGCATTGGTCACAAGGGCAAATCTTCTAATTAGCCAACTTGCCACGGAAACACCCTGGAAAGTGGACTGACACCTCTCGTGGCCAGTGGGTGAATGCTGATAGCGACTTACTGGAGCCCAAAAGCCTCCAGCACGTCATCCAACGATCCATTCCCCAGCATATGTGTGTGTGTGTGTGTAACGCCGTTGGTTTGAGGTGCAGTTTTCAGGCCTATGTGCACCATGTTCCATATGGGGGCCTATTTATAGGATCCTATAGATCTTCCTATGCTTCTTCCTGTCGTTCCGTCTAAAGCCCCTAACCAGGTGATGTTCAGCCACACAGGTTGCTCCTGGCATCAAGCTGGCTTCTCCTGGCTCATGGATTCCAAAAGGTCCTCATCGCAGCAGAGCGGCAGCACAAACAGTCATCAACACGCGCGCGCATGCACAGGAGGATGATCAGTCGGGATTTCCTATCCTCCCTGAAGCAATCAGGGAAGTGGAACATACTTAGGCCCCGGAAGATCTTTTCCTCTACAAGGAGGGTTTGCTCAGCTTCATGATTCTATGATTGTTGGAGGCAATGTCACCCACATCACCTGCCAATTGCTACCCAGGGCGCAGTGGTGATATGGAAGAAGAGCCTTAGTGAGCCATCGAAGCCCCAAAGCACTGGTCAAGTGCGAAGAACATGCATCACTAACTACATTGGCATGGGTGGACTGGGTGTCATTCTCCACTGCCGCAGTGGAGAGGGTCCACTGCCTTGGCCTCATCTGATTGAGAAGATGGCAAAGCCAACTTGCCACAAGAAAGATCATAACCAGGACCCCCTAAGGGGTGTCTATTTATAGTTTCTAGCCCCTTTGCAGTTAGGGGTGTCCATTGACCACCCCCTTCCATCCTTTCCTGGGTCCTGGAAAAAAAACCCTTCAAATTGGACGACCCCGAGTTCTTTGCCCATCTTCAACGGATGATCTATCCCCGCCGTGAGGATCTTGCGCCTCATCTTCATCTCCCTGACTAAGTGCTTGCGGTTCCTCCACCCTCCATCTCTCCGCGCGAGCCTTCGCGCCCGTCGCGCCGCGTGGTCGGCGTTCGCTGTTGCTTGCCGCGCTGTCGCGGCTTTCGTCCCAGGGGCTGATGGACTCGTTCCGCCTTTCTGAGGTTATCCTTCACACGCCTCATCGGCTGGAAGAACAGAAACTGGGACATGGCGGAAGTCCGGTTGTCTTGGGCATTTTTTAATGGTCCGGCTAGATGCAACTAAGTACTGTAAGTGTAGCAAAAAAATTAGAATGGTGGTATGTGGTGTTTGTGTTGTGTGGTGCTCTGTTTTCTATTTTTAAAGTGGCTTCTTGGTGTCATAGTGCCACAGGTTTTGAGTGCCTTTTTTGACCTGAAATCGGGCATAGACTTAGAGGAGGAGCACGGAGGAGCTGTGGTTGGGAACCACTGGAAAATATCTTTGCTCTACTTAGGTCTGCTCCTCGCTGCAAACGCTTCACGCCTCTGTGCTGATCCCCTGAGGCACTGGCTCTTGCGTCCTCGAGTGGAAAATGTGCAAGGGGTTCTCGAAGAAGTAAATGCCTCATTCTGCAAGTGGTGCTGCAATGATCTTATGAACATTTCTGAAGCATCCCCAAGAGCTGGCAAGAGCTCCAGACCGTCCAGCGGAGAAACGAACGAGCACACCAGTGCCCACAGATCCTTCAGGGTATTTCAGGGTGCTTCTTCTTCCTCCCACAACAACCAAAGATTCCCAGGGTTCTTGGAGAGTCTGTGCATACTTGAGGTCCAAGACAAATGGGAGGGAAGGTGACGATAGGTGACCAACCACTGGAGAAACACTGCCACTACACCCGCGACGAACGAAGGCCTTGGGACGCGAACCGAGGCGCATTCCTCTCGCAGCGTGGCCAGGCAGAAACCGTCCGGGTCACAAAGTACCCAGCCTTTCAGGCGCTGATAGACCTCCAAAGACGTGATGGATGGCCGTTTCGGTGACTGTTCCGGTGGCCGTTGACTTGTGTTGTGACTCGGTGTCCGTTCGCCGTTCGGAAACCAAGGCCGGGTGAAGAAGAAGACTGGGGATGATAGCATTGAACCATAGGAACTGTGGTGGCCCAAGACTAAAAAGCATCCACCAAATGGGCAGGCCAAATATAGCGGCTTAAAGTTATTCTCTGTATTTCCTGGATTCTCCAAGGCGTCCACCACCATTGCCACTGGTTCCAGCGCCTCTTTCTTGGCGCTGGTCTTTTCCTTGGCGTCCTCCTCTGCCACAATGGGGTAGGCCTTGAAATCCTGGGCCCACAGTAGCAAACGTCAAGAACCCCTTGGTTGGTGCCAGGCCGTTCTTTTTGAGGTAGCCCCACCCCAACCCATGCCAATTCAACCCATTGGGAAAAAGTGTGACTCCTCTATATATAAAATTATCGTAAAATTGCAGTTGATCGATCGAATTCGAATCGTAAGAAACATCTATAAGCCCATCTAATAAGCCAGCTGAACAGCCTCTGAGTCCATACCGGTATCGATACAAATCGAAGTCGACCAACTTAAGAATCCTCGAACAAATCAGTACATCCCCCTCAAAAAGCACCTTCCCCCTTCCACCGGTGGTAGGTTCTTCTCACGAACACTTCGTCCTGCCTGGATGGGTGACGCGAAAATGAAGTGGAACTTCAGGGGCGGCTTCACCCAGGCCTCACGCGCCGTGCGGCGCAGTGGATATAAACGAAGCCGTCGTGAATCAAACGACGATGTGATAGGTCTTTGTGTTAGACCGTGTTTGTGTTTGTGGATTTGCGAGCGCCTGTGGTGCCCAGCACCTAACAAGCATGAACAGTTTTTTTCCTCAAAACAGGCATATAGGGGTTCCATGGGGCTCTGGTCTGTGTAGTCCGCGCGACATGGCGAATCTCGGTCCAAGTCACTGCCCGTGGTGAGCAGGTCCCCACATGTCCATAGCTTTTGTGTGTAGTTTGTAGCAGCAGGCATGCTCCCTAAACATGAACATGCAGGGAGCACCTGATCTGAAAAATCTGAGGAAATGGTATATGGACAAATCATTGACAACATGTTCAGGTTTCAATAAGTATCAAAAAGTACTGAACTCTTCAGGTTACTACTTGAGAAGTATATGATTCTTTGGACAACTCAAGGGCACCACATTTGGCCCCAAGTCCAGTCCATGTAGGATCCGCCCAGTGGATCCCAGTGGTGGATTCGCGCATGGCCGCCGCATATGGCAGTGAGATCTGGTCCATCAACAGCCGCATGTAGGCAGCTCCCTGCCTGTAGGAGCCGAGCATAGACCTGTTCCCGTGGCAACGCCAAGGTGGGAAGGCCTGAGTGTCAAATGGCCGGCGCAGGGCCCAGGGGCCGTTGAAGGTCGAAGGTGAAATGAGCAAACCCCGTCGAAGCCATCTGGGCTGGACACGTGCCAAAACCAACTGAGTACACGGGGCTTTACAACTTTAGGGGATTCAGTTGGATTGAAAAGGAGCATTATTCACTGAGACCCATGTCTCACGGTGAACGAAAAGTCTGGGGAAGATCTTTTGGGAGCTGGAACGCTCAAAACTTAAGAGGTTAAAACTAAAAAAACTACATTCACATTCAAAGGGATGGAGGACCAAAACTCCAATACTGGTCCGGTATTTTCAGCCCACTTGAAAAATATTACAGTAGTCAGAGGGTCCAATCATCCCCAAGTAAGGGTTGAAAATCAAAATGTCCGAAACCATCACCTAGAATATATCTTATACATCTCTCACCAACACCCACACCAGTAAACACAGCTTTGCTCCCTTTCCATGCGCTTCCCCCCCGTCCCTGTTCCAGTCGGCCCAGCGGCTCATCCGCTTCCTGGGGTAGAAGGGCAGCCGATCGAAGTTGGTCTCCTGGCACGTAGATCATATCGATTCACACAGCATGTGGCCATGGTCATCCTGGAGTATATAGGTTGAACACATGGGGAGAACAGTGAAAAAGCAATAGGACAAGTGGTTCTCGTTCTGACATGGATTGGTTCATTCAGATTCTGTCAGCACCAGGATGGTCAATAAATCATAATAAATCTATGCGGCACACTACATCCGGAAGACTTTAAAAGTTCTTGACACCTACTTTCTATGAGTGAAACAACAGAATAGTTATCCAAGCCATGGAACGTTTCCGCATGTATGGAGTTGGTTCATCTGGTGTCCGAGAAAATCATGCCTGGTCGGAGCTCCAAACCCATGCGGGCGCTGGCTGTGGGAAGAGGATCCCAATAGGCAAACGCAGCAGGCGAAAGCCATGGCGGGCCGCCAACTTGTCCTGAGCGTCGAGGGAAAGCACGTCGACCCAACGCAGCTGGTTCAGAAGCGGTGGGCTGCAGTTGTCAGAAACGAAGAAGTTAGGTGGGCAGGAGCGCAAGTCTGGACAACAGGGGCAGGCACCCTTCATGTCTATAAAAGCAGAAATGCAAAACATGTCGTGATGAGAAGCGGACACACACACCCATGGACTCACAGTTGATCCAACAAGTAATATAGATGTTCCTGCTACCAAGTAGGGAGCAATTTGAACTTGAACAACTCATTCCCAAGGGATCCAAGTACCTCCTCAAAAGGTACGACTCCAACCTTCCCAGAGCGTACGACTGGATCCTTAGGGTGACAGGGAGCAGTCTAGATCGCAGCACAGCCGGCCACACACCGGCCATGTCCACCCTGCTTTCAAGCAGCCAAGTTCGTGAGGAACGAGGTCATGTGGCAGGCAGAGCAGGCGATCCACTCCAAGACAATATGGAAAAACTTGGGTGGACTGTACCTCAGTGCGAGGTCCTTTCGGGATTAGAGGGTTCGACTTGGCACCATTTTTTTAAAAAAAAGTTTAATCCTGTACCTTATTGATTATTGAGGAATACCTCATCAGGTAGATATAAATTATATGTATACACAATGAATTATATATACAGTACATTTATATGCAATACACGCTGTTCACTTCCTGGGTGTCCCCTAACTGTCTCACCCAGCCAATAGTTCTTGGGCCCTCTACGCCTCAGTCTGCACAGCCGACTGGGCGAGCTGGTCTCAAATTCTGGGCCCGGTGTGAAATTCCCGACAAAGACGTCACAGGGTCGATCATGTCAAAAATTGGCTGGTTGGAGCATATTCTGTCACGATGTCCCAACTAAAAGCTCACATCAGCAGGCTGCTGCATCTCTTTTGACGTCCAACGCGCGGCTCCCAAAATCACCAAACCGCCCGTTCGAGGCACACGTCGTCGTAGAAGGCACCAAACCAATCACGGCTCTGGAGAAAGGATGTCCTGAGGAGTCCAGCATGTGACAGCAATGGTCCACACAAGTCCAGCCGGACCAGGTCCTGGACCTGGTCCTGAAAACCGTACAAATAGAGTCCGGACAAGCAACGTCTGGAGTCAAACCTGGTCCTGAAAACCTGAAAACCTTATAAGAGTATGACCAACTCCAGTAAAATGAGTCAACCAAGTCAACTGTGCATTTAACATACGCAGCAATGGTTGATTCATGTTGATATTTCGGGGTGCAAAGCTGCTTCTGACAACAGCAAACAGCGGCTGTTCTAGAATTCTGGATAGGGCACTGACGCAGCTTTGGCTGAGTGATGCTGACTCGATTCGTTGATCACTTCGGATGGAAGAGCATAACTCAGAGACCATCAAAGACCCCTCCTGAGACCCCTCTCCTCTCCATCCCTTTCTTTCAAAAAAATTGCCAAGCCAACTCCTGACTCCTCAGCCGAGGCACTCGAGCTCCGCCCCTCGGACCGACACCGTCTTCTCCGCACGTCCCACCGTGAAGTGCTTCATGGAGGTGTCGATGCCCTGAGCGCGCGCTCCAAGCGCTTTGCTGGTTCGTGGTCGACCTACGACGCCCAAGAACTACTTACGTGATCTTACATGTAATGAAATCCTTGTCTAATTACGCCAAGAACTACTTCTAGATCAATTTTTCAGGAAGCCATGAACGAAAGGTAGTTACCAGGTAATAAGCAAGAGTGGGCTCATGCATTCCAAGAAGCCATCGACTCTTTCTCGAACTGCTGCAGTGGCAAACGCCCGAAGCAAAGCTTCTTGAGTCCAGTTTGGAAGGATTCAAACCTCAGGCAACTCACTGGTCGCCACCTCCCCATGTCCGCAGTGACAGTCTCGGTCTCCCAGGAGGTTCTTGACTACTTCAAGCATGAGCCAGGGGGACACACGTGCACGATCGATACTGATGCGTTGAAGAACCACCTGGCCATGGGTGGCATGGGTTGGCAGGTTGGTGTGGCAAAACTGGCTGCTGCATCTTCACGCTCTTCTACCCCAAATATTGTTGATGAATTCCAAAGCCATTACCTAGAAGGGACAAGCACAGAAACAGGCCAAATCTTAAAAAGCCTTGGCAATGACAAGACGTACTGAGCTAAGTTTCACGCACTAGCAACACCACGCTTTTGTCTTGGTAAAGTTCTCTATTTGTGCATCCTTCTAGTGTGCTTGATGCAATTCCTTATCAACAACTTAAACCGTATGACTGTCGCCGAGAGACTGCTGGACAGTACACTTCCTCACATTGGCCTCGAGAGCAAGGAAGAGGAAACACTCCAAAGTGTTGATAAAACCTTCAGCTTCCTCAAGTTACCAGAGGAAATGGTTTAAACAATTAATTAAGGTTAACAAGCTGTTTCTGCTTCCAAAATGCGCTGAATGACTGCCTTGGTAATGTGCCTCCTACGAGCTTGGAATTGAGGGTCTTGTTGGGGCAGTTCCCAAAGATTTGGGCCCAAAGAAAGCTAGAAGCAATCACAGTGCATGCTGAAAGGAGGTTCACTTACCTGTAGGTATCAACAGGTAATACATGTCAAATGATTTGGCAAAGCAGCGCGCTGTACTTCTTCAACAGAAACAGCTCATTGAATCCCAGAATTGCAAAAACGAGCTTCAAAAAGCCGTGTAGGAGTTCACCTGCCTAATATCCTTCCACCCCTCTCCCACATGCCAAGCTGCAAAGTCCTCCAGGAGCTGCTGCGCATCAGCAGACGGGCTCACTTCGTCCTGCAAAATGGCTCCAACAGTTCGGACGCTTGTTGCTTCGGGTGTCCCATCATCCCTTTACTCAATGGAATGCATGATTGAATGGACGAGTGCGAACGGTGCAAAGCACGATATGACTTGAAAGGAACCCACCAGTCCTACCAGTGTCGGTTCATATCGACTCACTGTGAACATGCTACTACCTATACTACGACCATATTATATATATATATACATATTGCAGTATTAGCATGCAGCACTATAGATCACTCAGACGAGAATCAAAAGAGAACAAAATACCATGCCATGCATGCATTATTAACAAAAGATTGTTTAACTTTATTTCAATTATGTCATATTACTTAATATTATACGACATAATTTTATATTTCCTGGACCTTCCAACTACCAAAAAATTATGGTTGTTTTGGTTTTATGGTCGTTTTGGTCGTTTTGTTTGTTTTGCGGATTTTTGTGGTTGTTTGCTGGTTTTTTGCGCGCGTTTTGTGCTAATTTGCGGTCGTTTTGTCGGTTGCGCTGATTTGCGGGCGTTTGCGCGGAACACCGGGTCAATAACCAAAACTACCAGAATTTTTTGGTCGTTGGAAGATCCAGGTTTGTTTAGATTATATATATATATGAAAATACACATATGTCTAAAAACCTCTCACAACGAAAAGGGTTACGGGCACCATGCCATTTTCACTCCACCACCAAAACCGACGTCTCCACCGTCTCCTGGATCTCAGAGGAGACCTCCTCGTTGGGCCCGCTCACCGCGCGGGTGACGCCCAGGTCCACCTCCTGCGCCGAGAGCGGACGCCGAGAGCGGACGCAGCGCCCCGCCCCGTGCTGCGTCCGCCTCTGGTGATGGACCGGTCTAGGTGTGTGGGAAAGACTTATATAGTCTTACCAGATCTTACCAGCACCTTCATGTCGGGGTCACCTGGCTGGTTTCGCCCCAGCCCACTACCTACAGGGATCTCCATTGGACACCCCTTTGAAGGTCCAGGTGCATATATAATGTATATTATAAAGATGGCCCATAGACCTTAGCATCAGAGTAATAAACATGGCCTTCCTTCAAGAAACATATAGTAGAACTAGTACGGCGTAGGTAGCCTGTGGCCCTAAAGCTGCTCTGCCTACAAAGAAAATCACTCAAGCCAGAATCCATCAGGCTTGACGCTTACGATCCTGGCTCCACCCCCTTGATGGATTTCACATCAAAGGCCTCACAGTCACACCAACCAACCGGGGAAAACAACGCCCTGGAGGTGGACGTTAGGTCGCGCCTCTCTGGATTTGTCCTTCACTTCGAAGTTCAGGACGACTGTGTCCTCACTCAAGGCCTGCATCGTGGGTGCACTGCAGGGGCAGCGTGCCTCTCATTCAGAAGACCAGTTGAGAGCTCAGCTATTAAAGTGTCATAGAGTGTCTATAACTATAATTATTAGATACGCTCTGGAAGATTAACATGAAAGTTGAAAACCGGGTTGTAGAGGAAAATCGTCTTCCAAAGGTCCATGTTCAGGTTCCATGTGGGTTTCTTCCCGGGTGTATTATGTAGTATTGAAATCCCCCTTGGACCACGAAGCTGCGAAGATAAGCTCAGGGTTACCTTGGCGAGAATGGCTCCGCTTGATTGCTTAGCCAAGGCAGGGACAAACACAGTTCCTTCACACGAACTCTCTCCTCACACACATAGTAGGACACACAAATGGTGCCAATCTTGTCGGAGATCCGAGCATCCAAGCTCAAATAGGCAAAGACTGACATCTGCTGACATCATTGCAAACACCAAACAAACATAGAGACTTCTTGATACTTGTACCATTTGATACGCCACAAATGCGCCTGTGGCCGTTTGTCCGGGAAGTCATTCCTTCAGAGTGGATTGAGTGGATTCGGGCGACGGTGGGTAACTCAAAAGCTTGTCCTTTGTAATTAGGATCTCAAGGGCTTGAGATCTGGGGGCCCGGGCACCGTAAAATATTATCGCAGTATGCAATAAAAAATATATGTATATATACATACACATATCAATATCTATATTGTTGTTGCATACATACACACACAAATGGGATTATTTGGGCGCTCCGTGTTTGGTTCATGCCAGATTGGTCTATATTTCCAATAACTAATATGTGGATGTAATGAATATCTAGTGCATGGAACTGACTGTTCCAGTGACAGGAAGACAGGAATCTCTCTAATATATATATATATATGTGTGTGTACAGGTGGGTGATACAGGGAGGAGCTGTGAAATGAATCAGTTGGGGGATAGTTCGGGTCTTGGGCGAAGAGTGCTTGAACCTGGGAGATCCTGGAAGCATCACAGGTCGGTTGAGGAGAGTGCTCGTTGACCTTCGGTGGTGTTCATGCCTTCTATATACAGTAATTGCCTTGAGCTCTCTGCAAGCACCGCTAGCCAACAAGGCAAAAACCTTGGCACCCAGCGGCCTTCAAAAAGCCCGTTAGCCGCCTGGATGGGTCTGAAGCTTATCAGCTGTGCAAGCTTGGCAAAGAGCTTTCAACAAGTTACGCTCCCACTCACTAACTGGAAATGGACAATGGTTTTAGGGGAGACCATTTTCCACTACCAACAGGTGGTTTTCCACTTCTATGTTAGTGAGTCAGAGGGTACATCCAACTGCCCTCTGGCTTAATGATAATGCTCTGTCTTCGCGTCACTGGTTGCCCTTGATGCAATCACCTCACAACCAACCTGATGTCCGGAATGCTTCCCAATTTCCCAAAAACACTGTCCTCGAGGTGCCTCTTGAGGGCAAGGACGTGCAGTCCTTGGTCTGACACAAAAGGGATCTGATTGATCTGAGGAACAAATCCCACAACACCTCAAGCATATTACACAGAAATGAAGCCATGTGGCACAGAAATGTTGAGAATATGTTCCACATATGCATCTGCTTGAGGATTACAGTGGTTCAAGAGTAGATGACACTGGCACCCCAAGATGTCTGATGGAGGTCCATACAAAACCTCACCAAACCTGGACATATTGGTGCCATCAATGTGCCATGGAACCTCTGGAAACCGCCTGTTAAAACCGTCCGCCGATGCCATCCTCCTAAACCCTATGGATCCACAATGATCCACATCTACCCTATGTAGGTGCCAAAAGGTCCGGTCCAGTCGTACCGATCTCCTGAGGTTCGGGTACTGGATCCCTACGCCGGGGACGTGACTCACGTCCTTCCAAGGCACCGAGGCCGTCTCGATGACGCGCGCCTGGCGCTCCAGGAGCGCTTCCAGCAGCATCTCCTGCGGCTCGCGCGAGGAGCGCGCCAAGGAGCGGATTTCTGAACGAAGTCAAAGGGGGTTGAGGGAAGCGCCATGATCCAAATGCGTTTGTTCAAACAATATCGTGTCCATGAGCAGTCATTTAGAAGTTTTTGTTTTCTCCGGGCTTTAGTGAAGGTGATGGACTGCATCTACAGCTTCGCAAAGCAAGGAGATGGGGTTATGTCCTACAGGCCATCCAAGTTCTCAGATGTGCATCCTTCACTGCTCCTCTCACAAGCTTGCCAGCCAGCTACCCTTGAATGGAAGCCATACCACTTGAATCCACACGAGCCCACCCACCCAATACCGTCCTGGTTCTTTTCAAAGGCGCCAATCTCGGAGAAGGCATCAAAGGGGTCCTTGCCTCATCATAGCGGCAGAGTCTCTTATGGAAGATGTGAAAACCCACTGGCTCCCAGTTGCCTCCCTAAAACTGGACGCATGCAACCTACGACTCTGCATGCTATAAGCTAAGGAGAAGTGGAAAGTGGACAATCCTGATCATCCTGTATCCCCAGTGCTGCATGACCCATGACTCATGACCCCCATCCGCCCAGAAAGGACGGTGGCCACCGAGGTACCGATCGTGATTTGCCCACCCAGTCGGGCCAAAACGCACCTGGATGCGGCAAGGTCGAGGAGTTGAGGTCAGAGGCCCGATGAAATCCCAAGCCATGGATGAACTAGCCGATGGGATTGACGCCAGCGGCATGAGTGGGATTACTATGAGCATTCATCTTGGGGATGGTAAAAGTTGTAGGGCTGGCTTATGGTCTCATCATCCTTCAAGAATCATCCTTCAAGAGGAAAACATGATTGAATTGTTGCCAAATGCTGAACACTGCGGAGTTCCCAATACGGACAGTTTCCATTTAAAATGCACTGGAGGGTGACTATATATAACATACTATACCTTGTGGTGCCTGCTTAGTTTCATCGGTGATGGCTATGTCCTAATAAACATCCAGCTCCCATCACCATGAAAGAAGTAGATGATCATGATTAGCCGCCAGGATCTGATTGCAAAAGAATGACCAAAATCTACTGATGGGGGCCCAACATGCAAGCAATGGCCTCATCATCTCCCAGTGAGACGATGCCAAAGAGGACTTGGGCATCAGGATCAGCATGTGCTGCTTCAGGGCTCCTCATGCACACCAGCAAAACCACGACTCTAGACTCTAACATGCTCTAACCATGATGCGAATTCTAGACCGTCAAAAGGGATCGGCCAGCTGCTAGCTGAAGAGAAGGGCCATCAAAAAAGAGAGGTCTCAAGTGATTAAGGATCACAATGTACGGCCTACGCGGCTTTGACAGAACCATGCTCCCGTTGGATGGGGGGCACGTGTTGTCAGAGGGAATCAGGTTTACAAAACACGGCACGAGTCAGGGTTCAAAGCGGTGAGACAGTCTCAAACAAGATGAGGCAACAATTGACAAAAAAACTTTGGACAGGTTCAACATCTTGCTGTGACCTGCACTGCTCCATGCAAAATATAACGAAAATAACATAACATAACTATATAACATAACTTTATCACTAAGATCCAACTCGGATCTCGTGAGGCGCTCCTCGTAGCTGCCAGCCATCACGTGTGTCGCCCGCGAATGAGGTGGTGGAGCTGTCCTTGGGGAGACAAAACGGGGGGCCAAACATCAGCACCAGAAACGCCTACTGCAAGTTTTATACGAAACCACTGCATCATAACCTGAGGTAGAATCCAACCGTGGAATCCCCTTCATGGACATCCCTTGTAACTACAGTATATATGCTCAGCTTGGGAACATCCAGCTTGGCAACCGTGTCACAACCCCTTCTTCTCTGTCTCAAGCCCCCGAAAACGGGCTTTCCGACCGTTGGGCGGCGGGTGGATCTGGTGGATCGACTCGCAGGTAGGTTGGATGCCCTGCCCCAATTTCCATCGCCAGCAGAGTGGACTGAGCATTATGTCGAATCAATCTTGATTAGATAACCCTGCCCCCTAAAAACTCTTGATATGATATGTAGGGAGCGATTAAGCCAAGACAAATTGAAGTTCAGGGGTGGCTGAACTGAGTCATCTCCAGTTTATTTGTTCAATCTGTTGCACAAGATCACCCATCTGCACTCCAAACACTCTCAAACATCTCTCGCCCCAGGACGGTTCTGGTGCATCAACTGGGCACCGGTCGTAACCTAGTCGAGCCGCTCGCCGTGGCACCATGAGATCGTCATGCAGCTGGGAGCGGTCCACGGGGTAGGGCAAGGCCGGAGGAATTTGATAGACTCCTGGCGATTTGGGCGTGTTGGAGTTGAACTAATCTTTGGAACCCGATCTTGGTTCTTGGATGTTCTTGGTATGTTCTTAGTACGGAGTGGTTTGCGGATGCCAGCAGTGAGTCAGGTTATCTGGGCTTTGTGAATGACAACGGCCTCAACATGCATGTCCTCAGATGTGGTGCATGGTGGGTAGTTGGTAGATGTCAATGGTTGGTTGCAATTGCGTCACTGCCGCCGACTCTCCACTGACTGTTGTACTTGTCGTGCTGCAAGCAAGTGACTAAGAATGCCTTTGGCAGTGACAGCCCTCTCCCAATCTGCAAGCATGCTCAGCCTGGCCTTTCCTTCAGGACTTTAGGACTCTTCAACAGAGGACTCATGTCAGGCCATATCATTCCCACACTCTCAAGGCGCTTAACCCTTGTCTCGCTCAGATTTTTCTTTGCCATTGCCTCACGCGGAGTAAATATTCATCCGAGGCCGAGGCCAAACTTGAACCTGCTCTTTGTTACAACAAGTGTAGAACTGCTACATTTCCATTATCGGATTTGTGGACAACTAGTCTTTGGGCCGAAGCCCACTAATCTTCGAGATGCCGCAGAGGGCTTCAATGCAAGTTGCCGTCCCTTCAATCAACATGCCCTCTGCCATGGCTTGACGCTGACTGTGTACCCAACGTCCAAGCTTGAAGTAAGGGACCACTACGTGACTACATCTCCATTCTCAGATTTGTAAAACAACTAGCTTTTGGAATGCTGACTCCCACTGATCGTCAAGTAATTACGTTCGAAATAAAGCCCAGCCGTTCAAGACGCTTCACTTTCTCCTCATCCAACCTGCCCTTTGCCATGG